CCCCCCCCAGCCCTCCGGTCTGTGCTGGACTAGCCGAGGGCAGTAGGACTTTCTCCTGGACCTTTACAACCCGAATAACAGGTTGTGACAATCTCCGGCTAGAACAAGGAGAGAAATTTTTTCAGGCCTTGGTGGCTGCTATGGGAATTCTTGCCCCACCCTGTGTACCTTTCCCAGGTGTTGTTCCCGCCCACCCCCAGCACCCACAGGCTGCCAGAGGGGGCTGGTCCAGAGAGCAGGGAGCCCTGCGGGAGCGAGGCAGGCAGCGGGGGACTCAGCCGGGAGGGGAGCCCTCAAAGTCTAGACAGGACCTGCCACGGCTCCCCCTCCCCACCCTGAAGCCACAGTCCTGCTCAGCATGGTTGTGCCAGCAAGAGGCTAGCCCTGCCCAGGTATGTGCTCAGGACCACTCTGTCCCTGGGTCTCCCCTCTGTCTCTGAATCAATCTCTCTCTCTCTCTCTCTCTCTCTCTCTGTACCTATCAAGGCTCCCTGTTCTCTCCACCCCACTCTTTTTTTTTTTTTTGGTACAGGGATTGAACCCAGGGGCGCATGACCACATCCCCAGTCCTTTTGTGTGTCTTATTTAGAGACAGGGTCTCACTGAGTTGCTTAGGGCCTCCTAAGGCTGGCTTTGAACTCACGATCCTCCTCCCTCAGCCTCCCAAGCTGCTGAGATTATAAGTGTGGGCCACCGCCTTTCCTATCCGTCCCCACAGCTATCCTGGTCCCTCCGTGCGTGGGGGACTCCCAAGATGTCCTATAAGTCTCATCCAGGGGGCCAGGGATCCTGGGCTATAGGTCACATCCCAAACACTTCCAAAATCTTAATATATTTTTGTATCTGAGAAGGGGGGAAAAAAAAAGTTGGTAATTTGACTTTCAGGAAGTTAAGGTTCTACAACAACCTGTTTGTGGGTAAGGCCGGGTGACAACTCAGACTTACAACCTGCCAGACCTCAGAGGAGGAAGGTCAGGCAGGGAGGGGTGCTTTTGTAACTTGCAAAAGGAAAAATGTTGTTATTGAAATCAGAAGGGCTGATTCAGCTGAGGGTTTCCACGTCCAGGTGGGGAGGCCCAGGGGCGCTGAGAGAAGTGTGGGTACGGGGAAGGGGGCCTGTTGGGGCCGGGCCAGGGCTAAGTTCAGGTCTCCTGGCTCTGACCCGAGTCCTTGGTGCCTGGACTTTGGAGGCCATGTCTGATGGACTTTAGGATAAAGAAGATTCTGGGTGGGAAGGGGCCATGGGAGAGGAGTAAAGTCAAGGCAGGTGGATGGAGGCCACCTGCTGCCCGAGGCCTGGGGCCTGGGGCTCTGAGCTGTCTGTCAAAAGTTTCAGATCCGAGTGCAGCACCCCCAGCCCAGTCACCCCCAGGCCTGCCCTCCAGGCTCTTAAATCTCCACAGACACCAGGGAAAGCTTTCAAAGCTGTGGAATCATTCACTGGTCACAGCCCAGCACCTGGGGACAGGGGGAGAAGTAGGACCCAGCCCCTGCCCAGAACTCTGGAAACTGCCCAAGTTCAGTTTGGAATCCAGTACCAGCCTTGGGACCCTGTGGGGAGCGTTGGGGATTCAGTAGCAGGAGATCTGCATCCCAAACCTTGGCCTCACCTAGGCAAGCTGCATGGCCATAGGCTAGACCACACGGCGCCTTCCTTACCTGACCCCAGGAGATGATGTGGCCACAGCGCCTGGCACAGACTCACCTGGAGAGGGTGAGCCCCGAGAGTCTTCATTCTGGTACAACAGCCAAGACCTCGGAAGCTCCTACTCCCTGAGTAACTGGGCCGGTTCCTTCAATATCTCTGGGCCAGCTGACTGGGATGGGAGAGTGGGGGGCAGGAAGTGCCAAGTGGATGGAAGGACTGGTGGATGGTAGAGAGGAAGGAAGGAAGGATAAATGGATGGATGGATGGGAGAAAGGAAGGATAATGGATGATGGATGGATGGATGGATGGATGGAAGGATAAATGGATGATGGATGGATGGATAGGTGGATGGATGGGTAAATTGATGGATGGAAGGATAAATGGATAAATGGATGGATGGATGGATAGGTAGTTGGGTGGATAGATTGATGGATGGAAGGATAAATGGATGGATGGATGGATGGATGGAGGATGGATGAATAAATCAAATCCTCCAAGGAACAACGCCTATCAGACCACTCTTTCCTCTACTTTCCAACCTCTGCACTAAAAAACGATGTGATGAGTTGGATCTAAAATTCCAAGGTCATGAGTGGGAGGAGGTGGTCGCAGAGAGGGAAGGAGGAGCATATCTACCCTGTTTCTGTGGCAGGTAGCAAGGAGACACCCGAGGGGTGAAGATTCCCTTGACGAGAGGCCCCGGTCATCTTCAGGGTCCAGATGCCAGTCTCTGATTGGACCTTCTTCTCTCCACAGGTTTAGGCTGACCCCAGGCCTCTGGGCTCCCGGACACAATGAGAGCCACAGGTAGGAGGGGGGTCGAGGGTGCTGAGGTTAAGGATGACATTCATTTCAGAGTCGTTTTTTTCTGACCTCCACGTCTGCCCATCCTGGGTTCAAGGTGGCGAATCTGTTGTCAGAGGCCCAGGTAGAAACGCAGGGGGAGGCTGGGAGAGTGTAGAGGGAACTCCCTGCCGCTGAGCCGGAAAACTTCCTGACCATGGCCCCAGGTGCTGGGACTGCGGGGGGGGGGGGGCGCCCCCCCGGCACCTGGTGGGAAACTAGGGCCAAATATCTACCTCCTCCAACCACAGGGCCGGACCCGAGTAAGGTGAAGTCCTCACCCTGGCTCAGGTAGGGAAACTGAGGCACCAAGCCTCACTTGTATCCCCCGGGCGACTCTGAGGAGCGAGGAGAACTGGTTGAAGTCAGCTTGCTTCTCAGGGTTCCAACCCCACTTCTGTCACTCACTAGCCAAATGTCCTGGGGAAGCAAGGGCCTCTCTGACCCTCGGTTTCCTCATCTGGAAAATGGGGGTGATTGGCAGTATCAAGGGTTCGTGAGGATGAGCTGAGATCGTCAAGTATCTGAAAACTGTCAAATGTGAACTTATGCCCCCCGGGGGACACTGACTGTGGCCAGGATGACAAAGGATCCCCAGCCCTAAGCCCCAGCCCACAGGATCCAGGGGGCCTCCACTCCCACACCAAGTAGCCATGGGCCACTACAAGGCCACAGAGCTGAGTTCAGGGCTAAGGAGCTGACAGAGAGGGCAGAGGAGGGCCAGGACTGGACCTGGGCCTGGAGGAGTTTAATTCTGAAGGCAGCAGGAAGTTGAAATGGAACCTACTTTCAGGTCCCTCTAAGGCAAGAGGGTGGGACAGGGAGCTCTGTGTGGCTCATCCCCATGTGTGGGAGGGTCTCCCAGTGACCCGGTGGAGAGTCAGGGGACAGTCTGGCTATGGGCAGGGGAGGCCTGGGAGCTGTGGCTTGTCTTGGAGCTACTGAGCAAGTCCAGGTGTGGTTACCTGTGGTAGCAATTGATAGAAAATGTGGGAAGCTACTCCTATCCCCCAAGTCACTGTAGAGCGGACCTATTTTTATTTTTATTTTTTTATTTTTTTGTACCAGGGATTGAACCCAGAGGTGCTTAACCACTGAGCCACATCCCCAGCCCCTTTTATTTTTGAGACAAGTTCTAAGTCACTTAGGGCCTCCCTAAATTGCTGAGGCTAGCCTCAAACTTTCAATCCTCCTGCCTCAGCCTCCCAAATTGCTGGGATTACAGGTGTGCACCACCGCATCCAGCTGAGCCTACTTACTCTTGATAAGTATGACACCCCTCCAACAAACCGTGACTTCAGCCTCCCATGACTGAGAGAGGGTTCAGACAAGAGAGACTGCCAGACCATGCGGACAGTGCCATTTTATTTTATTAGGGATTGAACCCAGGGGCATTCGACCCCTGAGCCACCTCCCCAGCCCTTTTTATTTAGAGACAGGGTCTCACTGAGTTGCTTAGCACCTCGCCATTGGCAAGGACATGGACATTATTACTGTGTCCATTCTGTGACTGACAGACTCCAGCACAGAGGCTGAGCTCCTGCTCCTCACACAGCACCATGGCTGCCTGAGCCCTGGATGCCACCGTCCTGACTTCCTACTGCAGGGCTCATCTCCCAGAGCCTGCCTCCAGTTCTCCTGCTGGAATTCTGTATAAAATGCAGATTCCCGCCAGGCACAGTGGCTCATGCCTGTCATCCCAGTGGCTTGGGAGGCTGAGGCAGGAGGATCATGAATTCAAAGCAACAGCGTGGTGCTAAGCAACTCAGTGAGACCCCATCTCTAAATAAAATGCAAAATAGGGCTGGGGATGGGGCTTGGTGGCCGAGTGCCCCCTGAGTTCAATCCCTGGTACCCAAATAAATAAATAAATAAATAATGAGGGTTCCCAGGCCTCGTTCCTAGAGACCGTCTCTGGAGGTCTCTTGGAGCCCAAGAAGCCGGATTTTAAAGTCTTTCCCCCAGGGGTCACTGTGGGGACTGTCTGCCCAAAATCTGGCAGCACCATCTCACCATCTGACCATCTCATGAGTCACCTCGCGGTCCCACCGTCTGGTCTGCAGGGTGGACGCAGGGGTCTCCTGACCTGGTCTCCCTGGGGGGGGGTCTAGGGGGGGGTCTGGCGCCGAGGCCGGGCGCCTGGTCTCCTGGCACGGTCCTCTTGCTCTTGCAGGTCTGATTCGCCTCCTGGCCTTGGCCTTCGTCCTGGTGGCCGCCTGGATCCTCCTTCACTCCTCCAACAGCTTCAGCACCAAAACCATCCGCCTGCCGCGCTGGATGGGTGAGTGGGCTCCTCTGCCTGAGGAGGCGCCGCAGATGGGTGCCCGCAAGGCCTGGTGGCCCTGCTTCTTCTCTGCCACAGGTCTCTGCTCAGATGTCACCTCCCCAGAGGAGGCTCCCTGACCGCCCAGCCACAGCCGGGCTGCTCCTCCTGGGTCAGCCGGTCCCACGGCCTCCCTCAGTGGGCTCCTCGGCCGGGCCTCGCCCCCTCCCTCAATGCAGGTTACCTGGACGGCGTCCATAGGTCTGTCCGTCTCCCTAGCCCCTGGCCCCGAGGAAGGGCCTGGTAAACGGTGGATTGAGGAAAGAAAAATGGGTGGGTGGATGGATGGATGGACTGTCAGGTGGGGGTGGGGGTGTAGATGAGCCAGGGGAGGCAGGAGGCCAGCTGGCTGCGTCACATCAGCCTCAAGGTGCACGGATGCCCCAGGAGGGGGCGGAGTGTGACTTCGAAAGGGACTGGTGCAAGCTCTGTGGTGTGGTTGCACGTGTGTTTGAGAAAACCAGAGCCACCGAGGACCCCTCCATTGGCAGAGTCCAGTGTCATCTGCAGTGATGACCAGGACAGCTCAGGGCTTCCCAAGACAGCCAGAAAGCAGTCACCCCGATTCTAACACGACTACCCCACTAGGAGGGTCTGAGGTCCTTCATCTTATCCAATTTTTTTTTTTTTTTTTTTTTTTTTTTTTTTGGTACTGGGATTTGAACCCAGAGGTGCTCAGCCACTGAGCCCCATCCCCAGCCCTTTTTTGTATTTTATTTAGAGACAGGGCCTCACTGAGTTGCTTAGGGCCTCCCTAAGTTGTTGAGGCTGGTTTTGAACTCTCAATCCTCCTGCCTCAGCCTCCCCAGCCACTGAGGTTTTATGGGTTCTGTTCAGTAATTAAGTGCCTCAGAGTTCAACCTTTGGTAGCCCCCCCCCCCCACCCCACAAAAAAAGCCCACTAGTGTTCCACACTGGAAGGGTGACTTTCTTTGGCATCAAAGGCTCCTACCCTGGGTGCAAATAGCCCCGTTTTATTATTTAACGCATTAATATCGAAGCGCATGTATTGCCATAGCACACATTATTTTTTGTTGTTATTATGTTGATAGATCATTGGTTTCCCTTGTAATCCAATCTATTTTATTTTATGCATTTAATAACTTACAGTCTATTGGAGAAGGAAGTGCTAAGTATCTCAAGGCAAATGGGGATAAATCTATTCTGAGGGGGAGTTCATAGGCTTTTCCAAGCCAGCAAAAAGGATTCATGGCATAGAGATTAGGAAATTAAGAACTCCTGATTCACCTGGGAAATTAGGGGTTTTTTTCTGATAGAGGAGTCAAACTCTAACTAGTGTCAACTAAACTAATTTCAAGGACCCACACCTGGCTTCAGGTGTGGCTGAATCCAGTGGCTCCCACAAAGCCTCCAATACCTGTCTCTCTGTATCCTTGGGCTCTGCTCACTGATACTTAATCTCTACAGGGTAGAGACGACTTCTGAGGGCTTTCTCTCCAAGGGAGGCACAATGGCTACCAGATGTGCATCTGCACATCTTCTAACTTAGCAAAAAAGGCCCTCTCAGCCTCTCTCCCTCTTCCTCTTGCTAAGGGCCCAGGGAATATATCAACACAGGGAAGGACTCTGACTCCAGAGAAATGGCCCCACCTGGGTCATCGCTCCTCCTGGGACCTTGAAGGTAGAGGCCAGGGACACACTAGGTTGAGCAGCCCCCTTAAGGACCAGATGGAAAGTGCATGGATGTGTTGGACCCCCTAAAACAGGAGAGCTCCCTCCTGCCATTCCTAGAGGAGCCCTGTCCACTAGGACTTACCCCCAGTGTGAAGGGAGACCCCACCTGGAACCGCAGCAAGAGCTGAGAGGCAGTACCAGATACGGTGTCAGGAGGTGACCGAGGTCCCTAACGCCCAGCACAGACAGTCGTCACTGCAGACAGCCACACAGTGGTCCCCAGGTGCAGGGTCAGCCCCTTACAGACCGACCTTACTGGACCCTCTCCACAGCCCCTGAGACCTCCATGACGGTCTCCATGGGCAGCCAAGGAAACTGGTGCTCAGAGAGGTTAGACATCACACAGGGTCACACAGCATGAGCTAGGGCCAAACTCCAGGGGGTCCCACGGGCCCGGCCCAGCCTGTCTGTAAACATGAGCGAGTCGCGTACATGTGTATGCCTGGGGGTGCTCCAGCATGTGTGCAAGTGCGTGTGCACATGTGTGTACACGTCCACGTATGTGTGTGTCCATGCATCTCTGTGTGCAAAGAGGTGATAGCAGCACCCGAGAGAGGGTTCAGACAAGGGGGACTGCCAGACCATGTGGACAGTGCCATTTTATCTTATTTTATCAGGGATTGAACCCAGGGGCACTCGACCACTGAGCCCCATCCCCAGCCCTTTTTATATTTTACTTAGAGACAGGGTCTCCCTGAGTTGCTTAGTGCCTCGCCATTGTTGAGGCTGGCTTTGAACTCGAGATCCTCCTGCCTCAGCCTCCAGAGCCATTGGGATGACCCCTTGGGATGACAGGCCTGTGCCATGTGCCTGGTGACAGTGCCATTTTAAATTCCCTCCTCCCCATGCGCCCAGCACCCCCCACCCCACCCCATCCCCCACCCCCTGCAGTCAAAGTGCTTCTCTCTAACCAGACTCTCTCCTCCCCAGGAGCCGAGGACACCAAGGACATCATCGGTGAGTCCCCAGATCCCCCCGCTGCCCAGGGCAGGATGTTCCCTGCGGATTTTTCTGCAGGTCCCAAAGAAACCCAGGTGCCCAGAGCATGCCCAGCTGCTCCTCGGGGCCGGTGGTGCCTTCTGACACCCCCCAAGCCCTGTGGCAGGGCGGCCCCCGCTCAGCCACCAAAGGGACCGGCCCAGCTGTCCCCATTCTTCCTGGCTGGCCCCGGCCACACCTCACCACGCCTGGCTGGGGGCCTGTGGGCAGGTGCTGTGCTCTTCATCACTGTGACCGTGACCCAGGCGGGGCCGGGCAGCACAGGTTTGTCCCCCAAGACAAACAGGAGGCTGCTGACCGTCCAGTGGCGTAGAAATGTCCAGTGTGCTGCTAGAGGAGGGGACAGTGCTCTGGGCTCCAGGAGGGGCACCCCCCACCCGGAGAGGGCCAGGAAGGCTTCAGGGGGGAGGGGGCCCTACGCAGTGCCTCCCCAGGACAACGGCCCAGGTGAAGGGATGCCCGGGGCTCCTAGGTCATGTGCTCAGTGGGAAGAGGGCTCTGGGAGGGCAGAGCACTGGATGCCAGCCACTGCGGGCACTGGATGCCAGCCACTGCGGGCACTGGATAGGGCTTCAGCAAGGCCCTGAGCTCCCCAAGGGTGGAGGAGGTGAGAGGGAGGGACAATGACAGCAGTAAGGACCATTGGTGCTTCCTGGGTTGCAGACACAGGTGCCTCATGTCATTCTAGATACACCCCTGCACAGGTGATTGAGCCCAGGGGTGCCTAACCCCTGAGCCACATCCTCAGCCCTTTTTATATTTTATTTAGAGACAGGGTCTGGCTGAGTTGCTTAGGGCCTCACTAAGTTGCTGAGGCTGGCCTCAAACTTTCAATCCTCCTGCCTCAGCCTCCTGAGCCACTGGGATTGCAGGTCTGCTCAGCTTAATTATCTCCTTTCTGGAGGGGAGGAAACTGAGGCTGGGAGAGGTGAGATGTCCCAGCTGAGGCCACGGAGCTCTGGTGGGGAGTGGGAATCAAGCGCCCCACCCACCCACCCTGTCTGGCCCAGGTCCTCAATATCTCTTTGCATGAGGTCATACCCTCTAGGGCCTCCATCTCCCACCCTAACATGGTGGTCACGCTGAAGAGGGGCTTTTCCCAGCTGGAGAAGCCTGGTGCACTGTGGAATTACAGAGAGCAAAGATTATGAGAGTGAACACAAACCCCTCACCCTACGCCCTTAACCCATCTCCCCAAAGCCTCCTCAGTCAGAGTCTGAAGCAGCCACAGAGGCTCACAGGGTCTCGATGCAGAACAGACACTTAGACATCACTTGCTGGGGGAATGGCAAAGTCAAGCTCACGTGGGTCCTCCCACCCTGCCCACTTCCATGACAGACATCACTAATCGATCCCTGCACCCGCAGCCTTTCCCCCAGGCCTTCAGGCAGCCTCAAGAGCTTTATCATCAAACTCCTACCACATAGGTCCAGTTCACATCTAGGAGAGAACCCGTTGGGCCACCCTGATATAAATCAACCCCCCGATTTCATAATTGGCCAAGAGAGCAGGAGATATTTCTGGCAAGTCACCCACAGATTAGCAGGAGAGCAGCCCCAGGTTCCTGACTGACCTCCCCACCCAGCCAGTGCCCCCCAGAGCCCCCCAGATCCAGGCCCTGAACAATAAATAGGCTAAGGTTCCCAGAGGGCTTGGGCCTCAGGGTTTGGAGCGGCCAGAACCCAGAGAGCACATCCAGCCCCCAGGGGCTGAGACCCACAGGCGCCGTCTTCCTACCTCCAGCAGGCTGATCGTGAAGGCTAGATGGTCAGAAAATCAATTCTGGAAAAGCCCGCCAAAGCCCCGCTGTTGACATCAGGTTTATCAGGACTCAGCCGCAGTCGGTTAGGCTCTGGGCAAACTCCCAGGGTGGTCCCCAGGGCCCAGAGCCAACTCCACTCTCTGCACAGGTGAGGCCCTCTGGTCCCACCAAGAGCCAAGCAGCCTCTCAGGTGGCTGGAGGTGGGGACCCCAAGGCTCAGAGAAGAAGAGGACCTTCACCCTGAAGCCTTGTGCTTTATCAGCTTTTTCACGGCTGTGACTAAAAGACCCGACCAGAACAATTTTATGGGAGGAAAAGTTTATCTGGGGGCTCAGGGTTTCAGAGGTCTCAGTCCATATACAGCAGGCTCCATTCCTCGGGGCTGGAGGGGAGGCAGGACATCATGGAGGAAGAGTGTGGTGGAGGGAAGCAGCTCACATGGTGACCAGGAAGCAGAGAGAGACTCCACTCTCCAGAGACAAATAGAGACCCCAAAGCCACGCCCCCAATGCCCCCTCCTCCAGCCACACCCACCTGCCTCCAGCCACCACCCAGTTAATCCCATCAGGGGTTCATTCACTCAGTGGGTTAAGGCTCTCACAACCCAGTCATGTCTCCTCTGGACCCTCTCATATTGTCCCACACATGAGCTTTTGGGGACATCCCACATCCAAACCACAGCACCCTGTCCCCAGCTTCGCTTCTCAGAACAGCCCTCCTGGGTGTCCCCACTCCCTGACCTGGCTCTCTGAGTGATGTGGCCTGCCTCGCCCTCAGGTATGCCCAGCAGGTGTGTGGACGGAAACCAGGAGAGGGGGAGCCTAGGAGAGGCATTTCTCTCCCATCATCGGGGCTCCCCACTTAGCAGAGGACCCCAAACCCAGCAGGGCACCCCGGTGTGGGCAGCACTCCTTCCCATCAGCTCTCTAGCCGGGTGCCAGTGCCTTGTGTCCCAACAAAGGGGTACATTCTCCCAATCCACCGAGTGCCTCCCTCTGGTCCAGCAAGAGCCTGGGAGACCCTAACCACGCTGACTGCTTTGGCCTCTCGGCCTGAGCTCAGCCCAGGGAAGATGTATTGAGCTGCTCCCTGGGAGGCCCAGGAGCCACCAGGAGGATTTAACAAGGTCATAAACACAAAGTGCCTGCGCCACGCCGGGCACAGCAAGCCTCAGTGTGTGCTGGGGTCCCTCAGCAAGCCCACGGGTTTGCTCCAAAGCACACAGTGGCAGAGCCACCCACCTGGCCCAGGGCCTGGGGAGAGTGGCAGCCCCACCCCGCGCTCCCTTTGAAGGTGACCCTGTTTATTCACCAGTCCCCCGTACCTCCAGGAGGTGCTTAGAGATAAAGCAGAACCTGCCGAGCTGCAAACCCACATCACTCGCACAGAGCCTGGGGAGGGTGAAGCCTCAGCATCTGCAGCTTGGGGTCCCCTCCTCATCTCTTGCCAAGCACAGTGCCCCCCACCCCTGCCAGATGTTCCCCCACTAAGGGCCTCACTAAGTGCTGAGGCTGGCCTCAAACTTTCAGTCCTCCTGCCTCAGCCCCCAAGTCCCTGGGATTAAAAAGGTGGGTGTCCAGCAGGTTCCGAGCACCCAGCAGGAGGACCAGCACCGCCTGCCTACTATTCCCTGTTGTCTCCCAGTGTCTGGTGCTTAGGAGATGCTCAGTAAATGAGCCAGGGGGCAGGAATCACGCGGAGAGCAGCTAATAGGAAAGATTCAGTTCTCCTCATGGCTCCTCATGAGGCCCCAGGGAGAAGGCACCATGGTTACCCATTTTACTGATGAGGCAGTTGAGGTGCAGGAGTTTTAAGACTTCCCCAAAGGAACCCAGCTAGACAGAGGCACCCTACCCTCCAGGCTAGAGCCCCCAGGAGATGGTCAAAAGGGGCCTCATGGAGCCCATGAGGCTGCTGTGGTCCCAGAGAGAGGTTCTCCAGGGAATCCCTTCTGCATGGTGACTGGTCATCAACCACCTGTCATCGTCCCACACGGTTATGAGGCAGCGGGGCCGAGGCTAGGGGAGAAAGTCAGAGATTTTATTCTGGCGTAGCCAGACACACAGCCAGGGTCCTGTGCCCCTTTATGGGGGTCAGCAGAGATACTGTGGAGCTCAAGAAGAAGCTAATCTCCCAGACTCCGGGATCAGAAGTCACCAAGCTTGTGCCTGAGCCTGCCCGGCTCCTCTCCCCCAGGTTCCTGCCCAAAGCCCCTGCCCACCAAGTGTCATCTGTTCCCTCCCCAGAAACCAAGAAGGCCAAGTGCGGCCTCAGCAAGCCCTGCCCGACCAACTACTTTGCATTCAAAATCTGCAGTGGGGCCGCCAACGTGGTGGGTCCCTCCATGTGTTTTGAAAACCAAATGTAAGTACCTGGGGTGGGGGGTGGGGGGGACCTGTGTTTCCTTTCTTGTGTTTCATTTATTCATTAGAAAACAGGGTACAAGTGAACAGGCCTGGAGGCCAGCCTTCCGGTCACTCCTGGTGTGCCAATCATCCAGAGATCTCCAGGCCCACCCACCCTGCTTCACAACTTATCTCATTGACTCCCCCACCCCCTGGGAGGTGGGGCTGGTCTTGTCCCTATTGTTAAACAGAGGAAAGCCACCCGCCCCCCTCACCTGCCAAGCCAAAGGCAGAGCAGGATTAGAACTCAGGCCTACAGGCCACGCTGCTGGGCTTCCTCTGAGAGGGGAGGCCTGTGGGAAGGAAGGGTTCATGAGCAAGGCCAGGTGTAGCAGGCCCCAGGCGCTTCCAGCAGGTACAGTCAAGTCCTGCGACCAGAAGTTCATCCTCCAAAAGACGTCAAATGGGTCAGGATTCTGAACCCAAATAGAATTCGGTTCGATGAAACAAGGAACTTACCGGTTCCTGTGTCTAAAAGGCCAGAGGTAGCAGGCTTCAGGAGCAGCTTGATCCAGGGTTCAAACTGTCTCTTCGGGACTCCCTCTTAGGCCACCTGCAGCTCTGCTTTCCTACCTGTTAGCTGCCATTTTTTTTCTCTACTGAAAATGGACTTGTCCGTGTGGTTGGAAAGAGAGGCCACCCTCTGGAGTGACTGATCAGCCCAGCCTAGCACCCCACTGGGCAGAGAGTTTCCCTGTCTGAATCACCCCCTGCAAAAGTCCCAGCCTGGACCTCTGCTGGCCCAATGAAGGCGGGTCTAGGCCTGGGAGAGAGACATCAGCTCTCCAGGGGGCAGTGGGAGACAGGGGTGCAGCCATTGGGCCCAGGAACTGGGAGGTACTACCTGTGGGGACCAGAGTCCCAGACAAGGACCCCGCCTCTTCCCTGAGCAGGCTGTTCTGCCTTGAGCAACTCCTCACTGTCTAGCCTCAGCTCTAGCTCCCCGGAGAAAACAGAGGGCCCAGGTTGGTCCGTGTGTTTCCAGATGCTTCTACAGTGCACCCCAGGGGCCCCCCAGAGCCCCCAGCACAATAGCAGCGTGCGTCCCCTGCTCAGGACCAAATGTTGCACCTTGTTCTGTTCTTTGTCGTTAGTATCATGAGTCCCGTGAAGAACAACATAGGCAGAGGCCTGAACATCGCCCTGGTGAACGGTGAGTCCCCCCCACACGCTCTGGGCTCCAGGGAGGTCGGCCTCTTCCTCCAGCAGACGTGGCTCACCCTGCGGCCTGGGGGGGCCTCCCGCAGACCCCAGGAGGGAGGCCCGCGGGACCCAGGGTCTCAAAGTCTTGCCACATGCGTCTACCCCAGGAGGATTCATTTCTCCTAGGAAATGGAACCCCATCCTCCAAGCCACCCCTGCCCAAACCGCCCCCCCCCCCCCCCCCCCCCCCCGGGCCAGCCCCCCATCCACTCACTTCACCAAATAGGGACCGCAGCTACTTTGGGCCAGGCCCCTCCAGGGGGGCGGGGAACAGATGTGAACTGGGCCGGCCCCTGGCTGCAACCCCCCCCCCCACCCCAGGGTGACCCAGCTAGGAAGCTGGGATGGGGTGGGACCGGCAGAGGTAAAGAGCCACGTGGTCAGGGGCTGGCCCAGAGAAAGGTGGGCGTGGCTCCTTCCAGGCAGAGGCGACACTGCAGGAACAGGGAGGGAGGGGAGGGGCGGGGCCTGTGATTGACACCGGCTCTTTGTGGCGAAACCTGAAAGCGGGCAGAGAGAAGAGCCGGGGCTGGGGGGCTGCTGGGCCTGGGAATGAGGAGCTAAGGATCCTGCTAAGTGTGATTTGAAGGTCAAGGCAGGAGGGAGCCCTCAAAGGCTTTGAGCAGGGCCTGAGGGGCCAGCCTTCCTTTCCAGAAATCTCCCTTCAGCTTGGAATATGGAAGCTGGAGGCAGGGAGGCCCTAGGGGAGGCCCATGGTCTTCATGATCATTCGGGCTCCAGCAGGGGATGGACAGGAGGCCAAATGGCAGCCATGCCTGAAGGCAGGACTTACAAAGTCAAGGAAGGACCCGGTGGTCTGGCCCCAGTCAAGCCTTCCTCCCTGCCTGCTGCTCTCAGGGAATGGGGGCCATTTCTCCTTAAGGGCCACTTCCTGGGACCAAGGTCAGGGCAGATGGGGAAGTGAGTAGGGTTTAGTCAGCTTTTTTACTGCTGTGACTAAAAGATTTGACCAGAACAAATTTAGTGGGGGGAAATTTATTTGGGGGCTCACAATTTCCGAGGTCTCCGTCCACAGACAGCAGGCTCCACTCCTCGGGGCTCGAGGGGAGGCAGGACATCATGGAGGAAGAGTGTGGTGGAGGGAAGCAGCTCACATGGTGACCAGGAAGCAGAGAGAGACTCCACTCTCCAGAGACAAATGGAGACCCCAAAGCCACGCCCCCAATGCCCCCTCCTCCAGCCGCGCCCACATGGGCTTTGGGGGGACACCTCACATCCAAACCATAACACGGTATTTGCTTACGAAGGAAAAATGCCAAGTTTGTGTGTGGTGTGACCGTAAGGCCCTGCCCTTTACCCTTGGAGGTAACCATTTTTCCCTTTAAAAAAAAAAAAAAAAAACTTGCTGGGTCAAGCAGAGATCAAGGCCTAGAGCAGAGGTGAGGGGCTCTGGCCAACTTCTCAGGAGCCCAGAGACTGGCTGGGGCAGGGAGAGAGGCAAGACGGCTAAGGAGCAACCCATCCATTCCCCACAGCCTTGGCTTCAGCAAAGGGGCTGCAAGAACCACAGCAATGTTTATAGCAGCTCAATTCACAATAGCTAAGCTAAGGAACCCACCTAGGGGCCCTTCAACAGAAGAATGGATAAAGAAAATGTGGTATATGTACACCATGGAATATTACTCAGCCATAAAGATGAATGAAACCATGGCACTTGCCAGCAAATGGATGGAACAGGAGACCATCATACTCAGTGAAATAAGCCAATCCCCCAAAACCAAAGGCTGCATGTTCTCTCTGATAATGGGGGTGCTAACACACAGTAACAGGAGAGGAGAGAAGAATAGAAGTTCACTGGATTCAACAAAGGGGAATGCAGGGAAGAGACAGGAAATAGGAGTAAGGAAGACAGTGGAATGAATCCAACGTCACCTTCCCATGTTCCTGTGTGAATGCCCGACCAGTGAGGACCGGGGACCTCAACTGCCATCGCCCCACCGTGGCTCCAGCTGCAGCTGACCTGGTGAAAACCGTGGAGTCCAGGAATCTGAACTTCTCTTCCCTGAAATGGGATTCCATCTGAGAGAATCCCTTTGCACACTCTCCATGAGGAGGCCCTTCCCTGCCCCTCACAAAGCCAAAAAGATTTAAAAAAAAAATCATACGTGACAAAGAGAGCTAACACCCTGCCCTAGCTGTTTCACTTCACCTTTTCCCTGCACTAGAATCCAGCCGTGCTCAGTATCTCCACTGACCAGGTAAGAACTAGCCAGGCTCAGGAAGGATAAGCAACTTGCCCGAGGTCACACAGCCAGATCCGGAGCTGAGCAACTCCTGATGGCAATCACTGAGATGAACCACCTCCTTCCTCTAGGAATGTCTCCAGGCAGGATAGCTGTGGGAACGTGCATCATCTCAGGGCCTGAGGCTCCTGGTCTGTGTAGTGAGCCACAACCTAAGATCCACAGTTCTTAGCAGCCCTTCAGTGGGCGGAGATGCATTTGAGTGCAGTTGATGCTCTGCACCCCCACACACCCCAATTCCAGAAAAACCCACCAATGTATAAGATCGCAAAAGGAGTTTCGGGAGTCCATGCCATCCCCCCACAATCACTTCCAGGGACCCCCCAGGAAAAGCCCTGCGTGGACATTGCAAGGCTCTGAGAATGGGAAGGGCTGCTCTGCTAGCCGGCCGCTGTCCACCGACTTCAGCACGCCACCGTGCCTCCATCTCCTCTGCAACACCCCCATCTAGTGGTGAAAAGTGGGAACTGCGACTTCCCTCCAGAACATTGAGGTTCCGGGACTCTGGAAACTGAGTACCCTTCAGCCCCACTGCAAAGCCCTTTGCCTTCAAAGGCTGGAGGACTGGAGGTGCAGGTTTTCTGTGTAGGTGGGAGTAACGTGGACGATCGTCGTTATTTTTATTGTTGCTTTGCAGCTAAAATGCACCTTGTGCCTGTGCTGTTATACGAAACCTCACCTGGTTCCAACAGCCCATTGTACACATGCAAAAACTACACGACGTGAAGCCCCGTGTTAGCAATGGGCAGGATAAAATTCAGACTCACGTTGGTTAGATTCTGTTTTCTTCCAGAGATGCCCAACCACTGTTTCTGCACTTCTCGAATCAGCCCAGCAATTTTTATATTTTTATTTATTTGTTTGTTTGCTAGTTGGTTGGTGGGTCCTGGGGATTGAACCCAGGGGCACTCGACCACTGAGTCTCATCCCCAGCCCTTTTTCATTTTTTATTTAGAGACAGGGTCTCACTGAGTTGCTTAGGGCCTCGCTAGGTTGCTGAGGCTGACTTTGAACTGGAGTTCCTCCTGCCTCAGCCTCCTGAGCCTCTGGGTTGATAGGCATGCGCCACCACCCCTGGCTTCAGCCCAGCAACAATTAAGCACCTAATGCGGTCCTACATGCTCTTTACAGGACCTGATTTTATTTGATCCTTATTCTATTTTAGGCTTTAGGCTCCCCAGGACCAAGTTTCCGCAAAGTGAGGAGGTGGAACAATTCCCATTACAGGGAGTAACAGTTCCGCTCTTCTTACCCTCTAGGAACCACAGGACAGGTGGTGAGAAAGGACTCTTTCGACATGTACTCCGGAGGTAGGCACCTCTGGCCACACTGACATTCTGGGGTGGGCTGAGCCCTGCCCGTGGGTGAGGTCCCCTGGGTGCAGGCAGGGTGGGGTTGAGGCTGTCCCTGCTGCCGTCCTGTGGTGTCCCCTGGGACCTCCCAGGCACAGATCCTGAGTCAAGGATTCCAGTGCACTGGTTTCCTTGACAGGAGATCCCAGGAAACATCCACAGCAGGGTGGGAAAGAGAAACAGGGAAAGAAGGCCACCCGCACAGAGTGTCATCAAGCCAGTGTCCAGTACACACCTCAGAGACTGCCCGGTGGGGCCAGGAGCTGGGTGTTCTCAGCCCTGACACCCAGAACTTCCGGCCTGTGCTCAGAGGACTCCAAGAAATGACCATGCTGGGGCCAGACAGGCATGCACTGGAAAGGACGAGGACACAGCCCATTGTCTGTGCCCCCACTCGACCTCTGCCAGGAAAGCAGGACTTGAGTTCAAGGTCACAGGGAGGAACCTCTAGTGGACCCAAGAACAGGACTCCAGAAAGGACCTCCCTGAGGCTCACACCCTGCACCTTTCTGCAGAGGTCTTTTCCTCTCCCTCTGCAGGGTCATGCTTTTTTGAGCTTCTCTGTGCACAGGGTTGCCCCTTAGAAGTGACTGACCCCCTTACCTTTGCACAGCTAGGTAGGACAAGCATTGTCCCCGCCAAACTAGGATACCAGACGTCTAAGTTCCCGCCGGCAGCTTGACTTGTGGATTGATGCTTTGCCATCACCGTCTTCAAATTATATTTATTTATTTATTATTTATTTATTTATTTGTTTATTTTTGGTACAAGCACTTGAACCCAGGGGTGCTTAACCACTGAGCCCCATCCCCAGCCCTTTTTTTATTTTATTTAGAGACAGGGTCTCACTGAGTTGCTCAAGGCCTCACTAAGTTGCTGAGGCTGGCTTTGGACTTGACATCCTCCTGCCTCAGCCTCCCAAGCTGCTGGGATTACAGGCGTGCACCACGACACCCGGCATGGTCCTCAAATTCTTAATAATTTTTTAAATAAAAGTCCCTCTGCTTTCTTTTTTGCCTGGACTTCACAAGTTATGTAGCAAATTCTGCTAACAATCTGTGATTCCATTTAAGTGCATTTACTGTGTGTCCAAAGTTATTGCCACATTTACCTTTTACAAAGAAGCTATGACCAGGGCTATCACTCATCCTTTTTTGACAGATGTAGCCCCCCCCCCCCCCCCACTTTAACCTCTAGGCCTCTTTTTCCCATACTTCAGCAGTTCAAGAGCCTCTTTCTCAAGTTGTGCTATATCCAGAATCCCACCTGCATTGCTATTACTTTCCTTTAGAGTGGCTCATATTTCTCCTTTTTGTGAGGTAGGATTGAACCAGGGATTGAACTCACGGGCACTCAATCCCTGAGCCCCATCCCCAGCCCTTTTTATATTTTATTTAGAGACAGGGTCTCTCTGAGTTACTTAGAGCCTCGCTTTTGCTGAGGCTGGCTTTGAACTTGAGATCCTCCTTCCTCAGCCTCCTGAGCCACTGGGATGACAGGCCTGTGCCACCTTTCCTTTCCTTTTTAACCTAAATAAATAATATCTTCAAAGGAAACTCTATCATTGCCCTAAGCAGAAAGCCATTATCACTTACACACAGGGAAGGTAACTTTAAAAATAAATATAATGGAAACCAGTTGGTGTATTTTGGAGCTCACAGCACCTCCCAGGGCCAAACCTAGGCCTGTTCAGCAGAGAGTTGGACAAGTTCAAGGTGGTGTTAGAGACACAAGATGAGCCTGGCCTCGTGGGCAGCAGGAGAGAGTAGGGGCCACCTACCTTGTCTGGGTTGTCAGGGGCCACGTGGAGGACCCTCCAGCTCAGCACAGACAATCTGAGTATCAACCAACGTAGGAGTGGGTCAGAGATGTGCAGAAGAGCCCAGAGGTCCTGAGAGGTCCTCAGTCCCCTGGGGGAGACCTTTTACCAGAGGCTGTGATGTGGCTGCACCTCACAGGACCCTGGGGATTTTTAAACACCAGTGTCCACCCCAGATCACCTGAACGAGGACCCTCACAGCTCATGTTGTCCCTCACCGAGGACGAGGGCTGCGGCAAGCTCTGCCCCAGGACACTGCCTCCCCTGGCTTCCAATCCTGGGTCATTAGGTCCCCAGGTGAGAAGGGGAATGAGGGGACGTCACTTCCCCGAGGTGAACAGCACCCGCTTTTCTTCCTGCCCACAGATGCCAAGCTCCTGGTGAAATTCCTTAAGGAAATTCCACGGGACACACTGGTGCTGGTGGCCTCCTACGATGACCCGGGGACCAAGTAAGTGGGAAACTCCACCTGCCCAGCCACGTGGTGTTACAAACCACCCTCCTGCCAGCTCCATCTGCTGGTGACCTTCCCTAAGGAGATCAGCAGGCAGGTAGGTGCACAGAGATGTCCTGGGAGGTTCAGCGACAAACAGGAAATGCCCCCCGTCCACCTACAGCTGGCGGGTTACTGAAATTGCAACATGGTGATATATAATGCGTTATTATACATACACATGGGAAGATACACCACATCACAAATGGCCGTGTAGCAGGGCACGGTGGCACACAGCTGTAATCCCAGAGGCTCGGGAGGCTGAGGCAGGAGGATCGCGAGTTCAAAGCCAGCCTTAGCAAAAGCGAGGCTCTAAGCAACTCAGTGAGACCCTGTCTTTAAATAAAATACAAAATAGGGCTGGGGATGTGGCTCAGTGGTTCAGTGCCTCAGGTTTAATTCCTGGTACCCACCCCCTCTTCCAAAAACACACACATACACACACACACACACACACACACACACAATGGTGCAGAAAATATTTAAGGACATGGGAAAATGCTCCCCCTTTGTACTAAGAAAAAATAAATGGACTGACAGGTGCCAAGAACTGATCATTACATGGTCCCGGACAATTAGGTCACTGAGTGACATCACGGTCACCTTAGTCAGTGTGAGTACCCTCTGTAAGGTTCACACAGGGACTATGTCACCTGATAAGGCATTTCTCAGAAGGTGTCCCTCGGGAACCGGCCCCCTGACTGCTAAAATGTTGGCAATGGTTATGTCAAGGGAGAAGGTGCTGCTCTGCTTTTCAGTCACTTCTTTGTGACATCCTGTGAACAGGCATTACGTTTGCAAACACCTCTCCCCAACCCCCACCCTTGGGAGAGAAAGTCTGGGATCCCTGCATCCTAAGCCAGGGGCGCTGAACCCCTGAGCCCCATCCCCAGCCCTTTCTTATATTTTACTGAGAGACAGGGTCTCGCTGAGTCATAGGGCCTCACAAAGTCGCTGAGGCTGGCTTTGAACTTGGGATCCTCCTGCCTCAGCCTCCTGAGCTGCTGGGATGACAGGCCACTGCGCCCAACTCCTGGTGCTCATCAAGCCACCCCCCCCCCCCCCCCATGGTCCTCTCTGGTCCTCTGCAGAATGAACGAGGACATCAGGTACCTCTTCTCCAACCTGGGCAGCTCCTACGTGAAGCAGCTGGGCTTCCGGGACAGCTGGGTCTTCTTAGGAGCCAGAGACCTCAAGAACAAAAGCCCCTTTGAACAGGTGGGTTCCTGGCCGCCCCCCACCCCTGGGGGGAGCAGTGAAGGGCTTGGAGGATGCCAGGGAGGGATGGACAGACAGACAGACGGGGAGCGGGGTCGGGGAGGCAAGGACAGCCGCTGTCTGCGGACTTGGTTGTTGGAGGGAGTCTCCGTGCAGAGCCGGCGGGGAGGGCAGCCCCAGGCCATCTGCTCCCACTCAGGCGGGGCCAACAGGCCGAACCCCAGCCGCCTCTGCCACTCTGTAAAAGGTGGGTCATGGGTAAACGCAAAGGTGTCTAGAAATGTACCCAGAAAGAGAAGGGGAAGGAGGACAGAGGGAAGGGCAAGTGACAGGGAGGAGAAAAGCTGCCACCGGGTCCCAGGTGTGAGCCTGGCAAACCCCTCCCCCTCCCACCTCGGACTCCCCACCTGGAAAGGGACCAGAGGAGCCCCGGGTCCTCTCCTAAGCTCCCTGTGGAGAGCGAGCTTCTCCCAAGGAGGGGACAGCAGGACCCCCACCCGAGCACGTGGAAGAAGTCAGGAAGGGTCCCCAATATGGAGTTCCAGGTCACCACCGTGGGGTAGCCCTGAGCTGTGGCATCTGGGCAGTCCCCAGATGTGGAGTTTGAGGAGCACTCACAGGAGGAAGGAGGGAGGAGACAGAGGTCAAGGCCACCCCGGGAAATGCTGTGCCTTCTCCCCCTGCCAGAGGCAGCTCCCCTCTCTGGACATCCCCAGCTGGGAGGGATTCCAGGAACCGGGAAAAACTGGCCAGGCCTTCCCTGGCATGAAGTGAGGACATGCACTGCTGCCCAGATCCCAAGGCCAAGGGCCAGTGGTTCTGAGATTCAGGACACTGAAGAGGGCAGACTCTGACTGGAGGGCAATAGGGAGCTATGGGAGGATTGAGGAGGAGAGTGGCAAAATCAGGTTGATGATAAGAAAAACTAGCATCCAGTGAGTCTTGCTCTGCTCAGGCACATGCTAAGCAAGATACGCACAGGCTCTGATTTAGTACTTAACCGTAAAGTCAGTATGATTGTTAACTCACAGACAAAAACCCAAAGGCTTAGCCGGATGGAGTGGCCCATGCCTGTAATCCCAGTTGCTCCAGAGGCTGAGGCAGGAGGATCTTGAGTTCAAAGCCAGCCTCTGGAGCCAGCCTCTGGAGCAACTTAGTGAGGCCCTAAGCCACTCAGCGAGACCCTGTCTCTAAATAAAATATTAAAAAGGGCTGGGGATGTGGCCCAGTGGTTAAGCACCCCTGGATTCAATCCCTGGAACCAAAAGAATAATAAGAAGATTTTCTTTTTGTTCTTTCTAAGTAACTGTTTCAATATTATCAAGGTAGATTTTTCCATTTAACATTTTTCTTCCATAAGCTAAGCCTGAGCGTTTCAAACACAATTTTAACTGATTTCCCACTCTTTATATCTTTATGAGTAATCATTAATATTTCATAGTGCTTCCACCATTTACCACCTGGGTGGCCAGAGGCAGGGACTTTAGCTCTCTGTGCCTCAGTTTCCCCATTTGTGGAATGGCACTTCCTAGGGCTCTTGTGCAGATTAAATATATAATGTGCTTTAGAATGGCTCCTGTCAGCCAGGCACGGTGGCGCACACCTGTCATCCCAGGGGCTCCAGAGGCTGAGGCAGGAGGATCACGAGTTCAAAGGCAGCCTCAGCAACTTAGTGAGGCCCTAAGCAACTCAGCGAGACCCTGTCTCTAAATAAAATACAAAATAGGGCTGGGGATGGGGCTCCGTGGTCTAGTGCCCCTGAGTTCAATCCCCAGTACCCCCCCCAAAAAATCCATGGTGCCTGGCATACAGCAAGTGCTCAAGAATTGCTAGGATTATCTTATTATTCTTGTCCTTTGAGGTGTCCTAGAAGGGCTAATGGAGAAGTTGCCTCGGTGCCCTCATAGGACATGCGGGCAGTCACTGGGCTCGGACACCTTGGGCAACTTAGGGTCCCTCTCTGAGCCTCTGCTTCCCCATCTGTGAAGTGGGGCTATGGGGAGAATGCAGTGAGGAGGCCGAGCAGAGGTACCCCCGTGGGTCCCACGCAGTCTCCACCCATCTCTCTCTCTCTCTCTCTCTCTCTCTCTCTCTCTCTCTCTCTCTAGTTCTTAAAGAGTAACCCGGAAACAAATAAATACGACGGCTGGCCGGACCTGCTGGAGCTGGAGGGCTGTGTGCCCCGGAAGGTATTCTAGCGCTTCCTCGCCAGGGGCTTGAGGGAGCTTCTTGCTGACTTGGGACCCAGAGCCCAGGGACGCTGCGCCGGGCTGGCGGGAGCCGACCTCGGAGGAAGAGGAGGGAGCCACCCGCATGGAAGGTCCTGGCCGTCCTCACGCTCCGGCTCCCCTCCTGCTGCACAGCCAACACCCCCATGGCCCTGCGATGTCCACCCTGAGACACGTCCCCCCCCCCAGGAACTGCAGACGGCTGTTGGTCCCAAGGAAGGACCGGCTGCCCACCACACTGGACCAAAATTAAATGTTTGGGTTTTTTTTTTTTTTTTTTTTTTTTTGCTGGTTTCGAGTGGACTCCCTGACCCCTCGAGATGCCTCCTTTCTCCCTGGGATTGGATCGGTCCAGACTCAGCTATGTGGGGCCGTGGGTGTGGGCAGGTTGGTGACAGCTTGGGATCCACCAGTCCACAGCTGGAGTGGAGCTCGGCTTCATAGGGGTTTCCTTTAGGCATGAAGGAATCCTTGGTGCCCAGGGTATTGTGGAAGATGGACAGGGGAGCCAGAGGAGAGGACACAGATTATTCACAACTTACTATTTTTGTTTGTGTAAAGTTTTTTTTGTTTGTTTGTTTTGCTTTGTTTTCCGGTACCTGGGATTGAACCCACAGGGGTTTAACCACTGAGCCCCATCCCCAGCCCTCTTTTATATTTTCTTTAGAGACAGGGTCTCACTGAGTCACTTAGGGCCTCGATAAGTTGCTGAGGCTGGCCTTGAACTCCTGATCCTCCTACCTCAGCCTCCCCAGCCGCGGGGATCCTAGGCGTGCGCCATTGCATCCGACCTATCGTCTTGTTTGTAGAAGAGCTGGAGGAAATCCAGAGCTGGCGAGGTTATTGAAGGGGGAAGATCTGGGACAGAGTAGAAAGAGCGGGATTCAGGGGAGACGTCCTGCCTGGGCTTGGTTTGGGTTCCCAAAAAACCAACCCCAAAACAAGAATCCAAGTGCAGATGGTTTATTCAGGAGATGATTCTAGAAAATAACCAAAGGGGATGAGGGTAGGGAGACAGGACAGGAAAGGAGGCCGATATAAATGTCGTGTCGTCAACCCAGCTACCACTGTGGGCGACTGGCGCTCCACCCACCAGGAACCTCTGAGTCCTGCAGAACCGCACCCGGACATAGCCTAGTCCATGGGGAGGGAGCTGGGGTATCTGTACACCAACACCCGCCCATCACTTGTTGTAGTGACATCAATTCCTGGGCACTTCTTGTCTGCCCCATGTGGGGAAGAGTGTGGCTCCCCAGTGAGCCCCTGGACAAGAGATGCCATGCCAGCCACAGGTAGGCTGCTGGACACACTGGGCGGGGAAGACCCCAGGGACACGGTCCCAGAAGATCCCAGTTCCCAGGCTCTAGATCAAGTCCTAGAAGTGGTCGTGGGAGCAGAAAGCATGGTGCTGAGCCCCCAGAGGTGTGCCAGGAGACGGCGAGTGTGGGGGGAAGAAGCCCTCAGGCCACAAGGGTGTGGGACAGTGTCGAAGTCCTGGGAACGGGACGGGCTTCAAATGTGCCAAAGGGACTTGGGGTAGAGAGCAAACCTTACCGGTGTCCCCAAGGGAGTGCGTGTGGGGGGGAGGGTCAGTCCTTCATAAACCACCTGCATCCTGAGGTCGGTGGCTGGGGCTCGCTGGGTGGGCCTGAGCCATCCTGGGTGGGGAGACCGAACCGCAGCTCTGCAAGGGATTGTCACTAAAGGGTCCAGCTGTGCAGGAGGAAATGCCCAGAGGGAGGGAGCTGCCAGCCCAGTGGCTGTCAGAGGAGGCTGCGTCCCCGTGAGCTCTCGGGGATGCCTACACGCGGCCCACCATGGAAGGGCAGGAGCAAGATGGAAGCTGGACAGGCCTGGAAGGGGCAGCGGGTGGGTGACAGGACCAAGGGGACAGGGTGAGCACAGACCAGCCTTCTGAGCCAGGCAGAGGGTCCTGGACGTTGTCCTAAGTCAGTGAGACACAGAGATTAAAGCTGGGGATGATGTGACCAGATCCACATATTAAAAAAAAAAAAAAAAGTCCTGGCAATCATATGGAAAATGGAGGCAGGGAGGCCAGTGAGGAAGCTGCTGTGTCCTCCAGGGACAGAGGGTAGTGGCCTGGGCCCAAGGACAAGGGTATCAGGAAAAAAGGGGGGGCGGGGCCCATGCCAGAACTATTAAGAAGGTAAACAGATAAGATCTGAGACTGACAGTTCTCATGCGGTACGCCAGCCTCCAAGAACTTCTGCAGGCTAATGGTGGCCTCAGCTCGCTCCGGCCATCGGGCCCGTCCCCAGCCCCAGAGAGTCCTGTGCTCTTCCCTCGGCCAAGGCCACTTTTCCAAAACTGTAAGTCTGATCCTCACCAGCAGGTGGCAGCCCGAGACAGAAAGGGAAGGGCGGCGAGGCTCGCCTACACTGGGCTCTGCAGAAAGAGAAGTGGGTATCTGGACTTGCCAGTGGGCAGTGGGTGTATCACTACTTTTTTGGTTTTGGTACCAGGGTGACCCAGGGGCACTTAACCACTGATCCTCGGTCCTCTTTTGTATTTTATTTAGAGACAGGGTCTCGCTGAGTTGCTTAGGGCCTTGAAAGCTGAGGCTAGCTTTGAACTTGCGATCCTCCTGCCTCAGCCTCCCGAGCTGCTGGGATTACAGGCATGCGCCACCTCGCCCCGCTCACTGGTATTACTAATAGTGACATCATTGCCTCGCTGCCATGGAGAAGTCCTGTTTTCCTGAGGCCCTGCCCAGAGCTTTACATGAATTACCTCCTTTCAACCTCATAGCCTCATGGGATAGGAAAACGAAGTTCAGAGAGGTCAAATGACTTGTCCAGTGTCACACAGATAAGGACTGGAATCCCAGTTTGCCTCCATCACTACTTGAAACAGGTCCTTCAGATCTACCTGGCCCTAAAAGTGCTGTGAGGTAAACAATGTTTCTTCCTCTTCTCTCTCCTCCCCTTCCCCTTCCTCCCCCACTCCATAATCCTGCTCCTCTTGAAGGCTCTCGAAGATATCCAAAGAGTACAAAGACCCTCTGGGTCAATGTGCTCAGCCTGCACCAGGATGGCTTTGGGAGAGAGGGACCGGGAGTGGCTGGAGGGGTTTTTAAACCCTCTCACACTTGTAAGCCTTGCTTCTTTCCACAGGGTTGTGGGTCAGAAAGGAGTGGACACTCATACCCACTTTGCAGATGGAGAAAGAGAGGCTAAGAGATGTGCGCAGACCACCCAGTGAGATAGGGCAGAGAGGCATGGGGACCTCCTTGGCCATCCACCACCAAACACCATCCCGTAACTCACCTGGGCCAGTATGTCAGGAACCTCGTCCACACTGGGTACTACGCTAGGCTCCAGGGCCACGCACTCATCCCTCCTGTCACACCACGGGGTCTGGATGTCACCTTGAGACCCTAATCCTACCCAGACTGGGCTTCAGAGCCACTTGAGGGACCCGGATTTCTGTGCAGTTGATAGGTCGTATTTCCGCAGGGCTCCAAGCAGATGGGGGAACATTAATAAATGTGTAGCACCCCCTTCTCTCCTCCCACCCCACCTTGAGCAAGCTGGTGGATAATTATGGGATGGCTGCCCAAGGAGTCTTATCTTCAGGGTTGACTTGGAGCATGTTCACTACCCCAGCTGACTACCAATGTAGCCATTGCCCTTTGCAATCTTTCAAGCTCTCTCCTTTCTAAAGGGGAGAAGCCGTGCTCCAGCCCCGACTGCAACAGTGAGCAAAGGGGTGGAGTCAGGCGAGGCAGGGGGTGGGGCCAGGCAAGTCAGAGGGTGGGGCCAGGTGAGGCAGAGGGTGGGGCTAGGCCAGGCAGGGGGTGGAGCCAGACGAGGCAGGGGGTGGGGCCAGGCGAGGCAGCGATTGGGGCCAGACGAGGCAGGAGCTGGACCAGCAAAGCAGGGAGGAAGAAGCTGCGAGTTTGTCTGGCTGGAGGGGTGCTGGGAGTCAGAAGAAATATAGTAACAACAGTGACCAATAAAGTTAATCATTGTCCTGTGCTGAGCTCCTACAAGAAGTCAGGGCTGTACTCAGCATTTTGCATACTTGGGGTATTTCATTTCATCCTGCATCTTTTATTTGTGGAATGGTTACAATGTATCCCTCGCTGTTCTAGACCCAATAGGTAAACTGATGACCCAGAGAGACCAGGTCTCAGCTTTTGTGAGACGACCATTCCAGGCAGGGGAGAGAGACCATAAACCCAGAAATAATATCATTTCCATTGCTAAGTGGTGAGAAAGAAAGAAATTAGCAAACAGAGAGCCCGGGAGGCTCCCTTGCAAGGGAGGTCAGAGAAGGCTTCTCTGATTTGAGTGCAAAGGAGAAAAAGGAAAGAATCACATAAAGGTCAAAAAATGAGCCAAACGCAGTGGTGCATACCAACAGCTAGGGAAGTTGAGGCAGGAGGATCGCAAGTTCAAAGCCAGCCTCAGCAATTTATCAAGGTGCTAAGCAACTCAGCAAGGCCCTGTCTCTAAATAAAATATTTTTTAAAGGCTGGAGATGTGGCTCAGTGGTTGGAATTTAACCATTCCAGGTTCAATTCCCAGTACCAAAATTTTTAAAAAAAAATAAATAAATAATAAAAAATGAGGGTGGGAGGAAGGACATTCAGGCAGCAAGAACAGCAAGTGCAAAGGCCCTGTTCTGGGAGCCACAGGTGTCGTGGCCCTGGAACTATCAGGGAGAGAAGGGAGCAGAATGAGGTCCAGTCGATGGCAGAGCTTGCTAGGTCAGCCCTGTTGGGGAGGGGTCAGGCTGTGTTCTGTTGGCCTCCACCAACCACTGCCATGTAATCAGTCCTCTGTGTGCTAGTGGACAGGGAAGGACGGTGAGGCTCCCCGCCCTCACTCCTGGGAGAGGGTCTTGTACTTTCAAGCACACAGTATAATTAACAGAGCGTGAACAGCAGCGCCAGAGAATCGCTGTTTTCCAGATGCTCTGCATGGAGCTTCCCTGGAATTACTTCATTTCAACCTCATTGCACCATGGGGGGAGGGGTCATCTAGCCCCCTTTGGTCAAGCATAAGATCACAACCCAGCAGGGAACAGGGTCCTTAATAGAATAATGTCTTCAAGTGCCCAGACCTGGCCCTTTTCAATCCTGTACAGGTAAATGATATTCTCTCTCCTTCCCTCTCTCTCTTTCTCTCTGACACACACACACACACACACACACTCACTAAGGCACAGAGAGGTCAAACCATGTCCTAAGGCCACACAGC